CGACATGCTATAGTATGACTTTTTTCGCAGTTTTTTCTCGATATGCTATACTATGACTTTTTCTCGATATGCTATACTATGACTTTTTTCGACATGCTATACTATGACTTTAGCAGTGTTTTCCACATTCTATTCTGACTTTTTTAGACATGCTATAGTAAGACTTTTTTAGCTATACATGCTATAGTGTAACTTCTTAGCCGTTCTTCCACATGCTATACTATGACTTTTTTCAACGTGCTATACTATGACTTTTTTAGAAGTTTTTTTCTACATGCTATAATAACTTTTTTCTACATTCTATACTATGACTTTTCTTAGCAATTATTTCAACATGCTATACTATGACTCTTTTTAGCAGTTTCCTCAATATGGTATACCTTACCTTTTTTCAACATGCTATGCTATGACTTTTAGTAACTTTTTTATGACATAGTATGAATTTTCATGACATGCTATTTTTTCATATACCCTAAAATGACTTTATGATACACTTCACTGTGCCATTTGTATGAGCAACTGTATTTTCTCATGACATACTATACAATGGATGTTTAAAAACATATATGACATACAAAACTAGAGTTTCTTCATGACTCCTTCTGATTTTTTTAATGACTGATACTGTGACTTTTGACATGGAATGAATTTTATGGCATACTATACTACTACACTGATTTTATGCCCTACTTTGATTTTTACAACTTACTATACCATAGTTATTTATGCTATACTTTGCCCTTACCAGGGCTCATCATCAGATTTGTCCAGTTGCCAGGATTATTCTCAGTGGACACTGTGAGGTTTGAACTGTTGGTAGGACAAAACAAACATTGTGAAGGTGTCACATTGGGCTTGGAATTATTGTTACTAACATTTCTTACTATTTTCAATATTTTTACAAACCAAACAATCAACTAAGAATTGTAGAAGAAAATAATCAGTGGATTGTTCCACATGAAAATAATATTAAACAGTAATCAGATTACAAAAGTAATCAAAAAAGAGATTGACATTTTAAAAAATTAAATGAATCACAATATAAAAAAATGTTTATTTAAATTAAACATTGTCATTGATATTGGTATTGTCATAATTGGCTCCCGGGCCATGACTAATTCAGAATGGACAGAGTGGATGTGAATTAAAAATGTGTTTTTTTTTTTTTATAATAAGTAGCTCCAAATGTGGAGTATGTCAGTGAGTAGCATCAGTGATGTTGATAGGAATGTGTGAAGGCAACTGAGTGTATACTGTTTGTGTTTCAGCCTTTCAGAGACAGCTGAAGGGTCTGTTGCTTCTTTAAAAGCAGAAAAATCAAAAACTGTGAGTCAGGCAGCTCAAATAGTGTAATTGAGTTCCCACAGTCATGAAATTCCTGGAAAAGCTCTGAAATTAGAAAAACTGTTTTCAATGACCACCTGTGGATGTTCGTTGCTCGTCTACTCGAAGGTTAATTGTTCTAAACTGGAAAAAGCATAAACAGCCTGTTCCACCGGAAACTGCTAAACATGCAACAGGCGGCCTACCTGTTAAAAGACTCTGAGAACCACTGGGACACTGTCTGTACAGTTTTAAAACAGTAGCCTACAGTTTAAAATGCGTTTATACAATGTATGTATGAGGTCCAATGCATTTTACATAACATTCTTGATGTCACCCTTGCATTCATCCTTTTTCCTCCTTCCTTTTTGGTCCATTTTGTTTGGTTTGGTTTTGTTTCTGTTCTTTTGTCACGAGGTATCTTTTTTTATCAGTTTTTTCCTTGTTAAATGTATGCAATATAAAAAAAAGAACAACAATAAAATTGTTAATTAAAATTAAAAAAAAAAAAAGAAAAGAAACGAAAAATCTGTTTTTCAGGCCTGAAAAAGGTTTGAAATCAACACCATGTTTATATATTACATACATTTTGGCTTTTGTTTCAAATATCCCAAAACATGTCTCACATTATTTATAATATGTTCCCTGTATTTCTAATTTAACATCCAGTGTTGGCTGTGACCATTGAAACGTCACTTGTATCACACTTGGACCAGACCGGCGTCGTATCACAGCCAACAGAGAAAAGCACCGTCACATCAGGAGAGAAACAGGAAAATGTTGAAAAGCTGTTGTGTCGTGAAACGAACAGACTGAGATCTGAGGCACATCAGATCCTGAATATGAAATCTCTAAATAATGCTAGTGACAGTTACGACTGATAGATTAGCATCAGAGGAAGGTTGATGCAGCACTGTTATAGTCAAATAGCGTCAGACCATCGTCGCCAGTTAAATCTCGGCCTGTAAATTAAAGAGTGAGCTGTCAACAAGTTGGTTATTAACAGACACTTACAGCCTAACGACACCTGGTGATTACATTAAGTGTACATGACTTGATTGAATCACCAGATATCATGATGCAGACAGCTGTAGATGTTCAACACTCATTTCTTAAGCACTAAAACAAGCCTTATTTTTTTATTTTCACTCGTCAATAAGGCTGGAAAATATATTTTGAAAAGATTTAAGTCTTGACAATTAAACTTCGTTATGTGCCAACCTCTCAGTGATTTTATTTTCTTTATTAATTCAATTCAATTTTATTCATAAATCCCAATATCACAAATTACAATTTGCCCCAGAGGCTTTGCAGCATACATGATGGTTGTCAGAGGTAAGATCTGACAGAGCTGACCAAAGTAATATATTTTTATTTTGCCTCTTTACACACTATTTTCTTAGCTCTAAACATTTATTTAATTTTGAAATTATCGTAATGTTATTGTTGTTGTTATTGTTATTACATTTATTAATTTCACAGCAGTCGTAGTGAGGGACCATTTTATTTTTTAGTTGCTCAGAGCAAAATACTAATTTTCAAATCATAATACTTATTAGTTTGGATTTAGGAAGACTACCGAGTTGACCATGAATTTATCAAAATATATTAAGTATTCACACCTTTTTGGAAACCAGGAAGTGACACAAAAGTTTTAAAGATATTAGGATGAATTCAATGGTGGTTGTTGGACTGTTTTTGGTGTTTCTCAACCTGTCTGCTGTTTATGGCACTGTAGATCGTGGCATATTAACTGATCAACTGGAGAACAGGGTAGGTGTGACTGGGGATACTTTAGACTGGTTTAGTCTTATCTAAATAACAGAACCTTCTCAGTATTAACTGGGAATGTCTCCTCCTGCCATGCTAATATCACCTGCGGCATTCCTCAAGGGTCCATTCTTGGCCCTCCACTGTTTATTATCTACATATTACCACTGGGTCAAGTTTTCCAAAACTTCAATATTTCTTTTCATTTTAACACTGAGAACACACAAATTTAGTAATACTAATACTAATACTAATAATAATAATAATAATAACTATTATTATTATTATTGTGATATAGCTATAGCTAAATCTGATAAAAAATCTGAGACAAAAAATATATTTTTAAACTCCTGTTAGTTTTATATGTTGAAGGTTTTAAAACATTTTCTTATTGTCTCAAGTTGTGAATTCTTGCCTGGGACAGCGGTGTTTTCAGCACAGGAAAAGTTAAAATTAGAAGTTAAAAAATGAAGGCAGATAAAAATATTTTTTTATTTCATGCATATAAATCCCAGAAATAAAATTAGTGTCAATAAGTTATAATGTTGAGGTTTTTTTTTTTGTAGGACTTGATTTGAATTGTCACAGTTTTCAAGAGTGATCGATCAGTGCCCAGATAATAATTTATAAAGAGTTCAGGTAAGGTCTGTCTAACAAGAAATAAACTTGCAAAAATTATAATCCAAAAAGGTCAGAGTGCATTAACTTCTACAGGATCTTCTATCTACCAAAAAGGGGCGTGGCCTTGATGCTTTGTGAAGTATGCTGATCTATTGGCATCTGCAGCTAGTTGGCAGCTGGGACGTCTAATGAGCAAGTTAAGTTAGCAAGTGCTAGCAGTTTGCTTCTCTACAAATGCCTGGGATGTGTGTGTTTATCACTATCTCCACCATTGCTAAGATTTTCCGTCATTTATGACAGAACGTTTCCCCGCCATTGACGAGATATTCCGGCAATCCGTGTTTTCACTGTTATAAGATAGGGGGCGCTGTGACACATCTTGAATGTCAGTGAATATGATCAAAGATACTGGTGGTGTCTGGAAACTAATAATAATACACTAGCGGGGAAAGTGTTAACCCTTTAATACCGAGGGGAGTGCCCGCGATGAGCGAGGACGCCATTATCTGTATCTGTTTAACTGACTAAATTATCTGTATCTGTAGTCTGTACTCTGGACCAAAAGTGGGTGGGGTTTGTATTGGAAGTGGGTGGGAACTAATCAGAAGTTGTTATTTTAAGCCTGATATTGATATGGATTGATCAGAAGTTGTGGTATTTATAAATGATTAGAAAACTTTTTACATACAAATGACTTGGTGCTCATTGAGTATCTGTATTCATATAAAGTTTGTTATCTGTACCAGATACTTAATGTACTTAATGTGAGTATTTGGTTCAACCCTAGTGTTTAACAATGTATGACTGTATACAGGCCGACCCAGTTTAAACTAATGTGACTAAAGTCTTTGAAATGATGTAAAATATTCCGAAGTTTTGAAAATTAATTGGTAAAAATCAGAGAGATTTGAAACTGTGACTCTGTGAAAGAGGATACATTTGTGAAAACCACCATCAGTTGCAGCCCAAATAAAACGTCCCTTCACCCGAGGTCAGGATGTCCATTTGTTGTCTCTATACTGCTGACACATATAAGATCCTGGACACAGTTTGGTGAAGAGGATAAATAAATTAATCTCTGTATCAATGAATTACATTTAAAGTAACCAGGGAACTGTACAACGGGTCTTTACCTGCAAACTGTGACCACGGAGTGGAGCCCTGCTCCTGCTGGGCATGATGGAAGCGAGTCAGCCCCTCCCCTCCCTCCTCCTCCTCCTCCTCCTCCACCTGTGTGCAGGTGAGGCAGGTGTATAAAGGAGTCTTTCTCCGGGTGGAAACAGACTCCAGCAGCTGCTCACACTGAGATCTTTGTCACAAACTGTTGGATTTCCTGCAGAAAGATGGAGACACTGCTCGCACTCTGGATCGCTCTCAGCATCGCCGCCTCAGGTAAGAAAAATAATCTCAGCTCACCTGAAGCTTTTAAAACTGAAGGTTTGTTTCACTGAAGCTCAGGGAGAATGGAAACTGAATTTCTAGGTGACAAAAACTTCTATCTCTCTTAAACTAAATATGTTAAGAGATTAGAGATCAGTTTACACAACAGAGAAGAAAACACCTGGGGAGGGTTTTCAGGTGCAGGAGGGTCAGTAAGTGTCTCATATTGTAAACTTATTGTTTTTTTCTATTATTTATTAATCTGTTGATTAAATTCTAAAATAACTGAGAAACTGTTCGGTCTATTAAACATCTGAAAATACTGAAAGGTGTCTGCCAAACTCTCCTGTATGATTGGACATGTAGTTGTTGGATGGATGTGAAGTTTAAACTCAGGCAGAGTTTGAAATTAGTTTGAGTTATTTCTCAGTGTTCAGTGACGGAGGTGAATAATTTGGACAGAATATTCTGAATAATGAAGATTTGATGACTTTGTTGGACGCTGAAAGAACCAGACAGGAGATCAGCACACTGTATGAAAAGCTCCCAGTCAATCTAACAGAGATCTCCGTCAGGCACTTTTCACCATCACAAAGCAGAGCAAGTAATATTAATTATTTATTTCGAATTATTGACATTTATTATTATCTGCTTTGATATGCTGATTTCAAAAAGCCTGACAAAGATCTCTGTTAGATTGAAACGTTGCACAGTTAAAACTAATTTTCATACAGTGTCCAGACCTCCTGTCTGGTTCTTGCTTCAGTTTGATTTTTTGATCCGTCACCTGTAAAAGGTTTTTGAATGTTCGTACCCTCCACCCTGTTTGTTGGATACTGAATCTTTCTGATGAGTTTTGAAGAAGAAGTATAAAAGAAGACATGCAAAGAAGAATCGACCACGCTGATCTGATGATTTTAACAAAGATACTCGGTTCAGTTTCGTTCGTCTCTGTTTGGATGTTCAGCATTTTATTTTCTGGTTCAGATGAAGTTTTAATCACTGCACAGTGAAAACAGAACTTCAGGTTTTACACAACTACATAAGGCCAGCCTGAAACAATGGGTCATAGCCAATCAAGACATCTGAGTGACGAGTGTGAACAGAGCTCAGTAAACTCTGAACAGACTAATTAACATCACAATCTGATTCAATCTGCTCTAATCCCTTCAACACCTCTAAGACTGTCCTCCTGGATGAGCTGTAGGGGTGGGGAAAAAATCAATACGGCAAAGTATCACAATATTTTTGTGTGGCAATATCGTATCATCACACAGTGCCAAGGATCGGCTTTTTATTATAAAAATATGACAAATACATTAGCTCCTTAGCCAAAGCATTAAAGATGGCAGCTCTTCCAGAATTCTTGCCTCGTAAAACAGATTGTGGTTTTAAGACAGGGGTGGATAAGGGTTAATTACTGTAGATCAGCTTTTCTGTAGTGAATTGAAACCATATGAACATCTATAGAGAATTTGGCCTGCCAGGGATGGATCCTTTTTTAGATTTCTTCAAATTCGACACTATTTACTGACACATGCAGCAGACTGGGAGCAGGTATGTAAACTGTTAAGAAAGGATTTTTCTGCTGACTATGGAGGGAGGGATAAAAAAGAATCTGATAGCCCTTTTGCTTTTGTCTCCATGTGGTGTTATTGATGTTGGCAGAAATTGATAATTACGCACTCTTTGCACTTTCCCTATCTTGTATGGGCTATTTGAGTCGCTGCTACTGATGTTGTTTCAGCACACTGTCTCTTAGACTTTTAATTGTATGTCTTGTACATTTTTTATGTCTTTTTTTTACTTGCTGCAACACTAATTGCCCTACAGGGACACAAATAAAGCTGAATCTGAATCTGAATCAATATATAATATAATATATAATCAGGAAACACTATGGAAACGAAAAAGAAATGGGAATTAGAAATAAGTTTATAGTTACAGATGACGTGTGGGGAAAAAACGTGCCAGGAGGGTCACAAGCTAATAAGTAGCCCAACCTGGAAGGAGTCTCAGTGGAAAACTAAAATGAGAGTATTTAAGAGCCCTCTTATGGTGACAAGATAGAGCAACACCTCTGAATTATGCTGGAGGCAATGAAGAAAACTGGCGACCACACCCTTAGTTTTTGGGATTGTCCAAAATTGGATAAACATTGGGAGGAAACTGAGTTTAAGTAAATCATGGCGGGTGGACCTGCCTCTAGAGCCAGCAGTCTTTATACTGGGAGACACTTCAGAGGACATAGACGCTTTGATGGAAAGCACAACGGCCTCCATACTGATGGACTTTGTGGAGTAGAATCCATACTACAGCTTCCGAGACACAACTTCTCAGACAACTGATTGCGTTTTGATTTTTTACCTCCCTGTGTCTCCCCTCCAGAGTTAACCAACTACTGTTAAACTTTAATTAAAAGCAGGTAATTTTTACAGAGGTTCTTCTATAAAACCAGGTTGCTGGCTTCCCATTTAAGCTAATGTTAGTTAGCTGCTTAGATCATGCATACAAATATAAATGTTTAAACTTTTGTTAATATGGAGATGCTACACGTTGTGAGACTCTCCATAATTTCATAAGTTCATTTTACTGAAACTATGAGCACCAGATAATAATTCATTCAGATTTACCCACCTGGTAAACAGGAGACGAAAAATAGAAGTGGTGACTCCCTACGTTAGCTCTGAAGCGGTCATATAGTCAAATTATGTGTCCATTCCTGGATTACTCTGTAAGTTATTCAGATTCCTTCAGTCTGTAAGGGTCCTTCAAAAGAATCAAAAGGGTTTTTCATAAAAAAATAATCCAAGTTGTGAGGATTGTTTTAACAGGATAAAGTGCCGTAGGCGGCATAAAACATAAACGTGTCGTAACTCTCAACTATGGTTAAATGTGATAAGACCAAAGGACTGGACGGAGGCCATCATCAAAAATGCTCACATGTGCAGCGCACACTTCATATCAGGTTAGGGAAAAAGTATTTCCTGTTGTAGGGATGAATAAGGTTATGTGTATTAAGGGTTATCATGTCCACCTCATCAGAAACTGGGGAGGGATTAAGAGGAAGATTGGATTTCTCTGCAACGCTAACTTTTTAGCACATTAGCTAACGTTAGCTTCCATAGCAAAACAAACAAGTGTGGTCCTCCTTTGTAAGATTGGCTTCCTGTGACATCATCCATCCACTGAGTGAGAGCATACGGGTCGGCCAGTCTGGTCCCGTTGGTCAGTGTTTACTTCTTCAAGTAACACTGGCGGTCCCGGAGAGTGAGTGACCTGACATGGTGCGTTGGTAAATTCAGTCTGACGCTCTACACTAAAATGAGAGCCCTGTTGGTGGAAGAAACAGAGCGTTATATTTCTACATGAATGAACCAACGGTTAAGTTAATCACACATTCACTCCGCTCGGCGCTCTGCTGCTCCGTCTCCACAGACAGAGTGTCCAGAGTGCGCTCTGCCACTCTGAGAGTGCGCTGCTCTGGATAACCCAACGCTACATTCAGACAGCGCTCCCAATTTATCAACGCTCCAGTTTGTGTCAGAGTGCGCTCCCACACTCACAATGAGTGTTTCTGAACACACCACTCACATCATCTTCCTCCATCGTCTAAAACAAGACAACACAACTTGTTAGCTAACGCTAGCTAATGTCTGTGGAGGATTGTTTTGCCTCCAGCTAAGCCCCGCCCACCAAAAGAAGTCATACTGTTTACTAACAGTAAAAGGGTCTATATGAATCATTCATTTGATCTGAGGACCCTTACAGACTAAAGAAATATGAATAATTTAGAGGGTAATAGAGGAATGGACACATAATTTGACTTTATGACTGCTTCAGATAAAGGGAGTCACCACTTGTTATTTTGTGCTGGCAATCTGAATGAATTATGGTCTTCTCTGGTGCACATGGTTTCAGTAAAATGAACTGAATAATTGAATTGTGGAGAAAATAACCGAGCTAACGATGTGAGGCATCTCCATACTCACAAATTCTAATCGAGACAGGCCTTTGTTTGTCAAAAAGTGAAGCCACACCAGGCTAGTAAAAGAGACTGGGCTTTTAATTGAAGTTTTACAGAATTCTCATTATATCATATTCTGCTGGTTCTCTAAAATATTGGGAGAAGGTACAAAATATTCACGACAGTTTCTCAGTTGTAGTTTATCGTCAATGTCTTATTTTATTCAAACAACAGTCCAAACAGTGAAACGGGCGGCACGGTGATAGAGTGGTTACCATTGTTGCCTCACAGCCAGAGGATTTCTGGTTCGAACCCTGGGTGGGGAGCCCTTCTGTGCAAACTCTGCACAGAAGGGCTCCCCACGTGTCAGCGTGGGTTTCCTCCAGGTGCTCCAGCTTCCTCCCACAGTCCAAAGACATGCAGGTTAATTAGTGACTCTAAATTGTCCGTAGGTGTGAATGTGAGTGTGAATGGTTGTCTGTCTCTATGTGTCAGCCCTGTGATAGTCTGGTGACCTGTCCAGGGTGAACCCTGCCTCTCACCCAGTGTCAGCTGGGATAGGCTCCACCCCCTGCGACCCCTAACGGGATAAACGGTTACGGGAATGGTACCAAATATCCACCATAGTTTCTCAGTTGTAGTTTATCTTCAATGTCTTATTTTGTTAAACAAACAGCCCAAACAGTGAAACAAAACAGAACAATCTGAGACACTCTGCCTGATTCAACAAATACAGTTAATAATCGATTATCAGAATGTTGAATATTAATTTTCTGCTGCAGGATAACAACAACACATGAAGGATGAACATAATTTTTTCTTCTTCTTCTCATTCTTTAGTGTCTTCTCACGAGTTCCATGACCCAACAACCACCTCACCATCATTTAACAGCAGTGATGACATTTTTGGCAACACCACTGACCTCACATCAACATCACCTGCACCTGCCACAGCCACCCCATCTGATCCCGACCTCATCATGTTCAACACCACCTGTAACCACACAGAGGAAGCTTACGTCGACATGCACGACATGGATGACATGGATGACATGGATGACATGCACGACATGCACAACATGCACGACATGGATGACATGGATGACATGCACGACATGCATGAGGAGCACGACATGCACGACATGCACGAGATGCACGACATGCATGATGAAAACGCTTCAGAAAACTCCGCCAGTGAAACAATCTCAATACAAAACATAACAACAATCCACTATAGCGTGATAAGAACTTTTCCAAACGGCACTGAACACATAACAAACAGAACCACTGTCATCTGGTTGACGCCAGACGCCATAAACAATGAAACGGTTTTCCTCGGCAACAACGCTCCCATACACTCTTCTTCTTCATTGTCATCTGCCATGAAAAACACATACAACACCGCAAACCATGAAACAGTTTCCTCCAACAACAACGTTCACGTCGACTCTTCATCTTTATCCAGCACATCAAACACCGAATACATCGCAAACCACTAAATATTTTCCTTCAGCAACAACACTCACGTCCAGTCTTCGTCTTCATCGTTATCCAGCGCGTCAAACACCGAACACATCGCAAACCACGAAACAGTTTCCTTCAGCAACAACAATCACGTCCAGTCTTCGTCTTCATCGTTATCCAGCGCGTCAAACACTGAATACATCGCAAACCACGAAACAGTTTCCTTCAGCAACAACAATCACGTCCAGTCTTCGTCTTCATCGTTATCCAGCGCGTCAAACACTGAATACATCGCAAACCACGAAACAGTTTCCTTCAGCAACAACAATCACGTCCAGTCTTCATCTTCATCTTCATCCAGCGTGTCAAACACCGATAACACCAGACTCAATGGAGAAGTTACCCTTAGCAACAACACTAACAATGTCCACTCTGTAACCACTGTATCAAACACCAACAACACCGGAAACACTGCACATGATGACACAGCTCCCCCCAGCAACACCGCTCCCAACAACTCTACATCCACTGCCTCAAACACTGGAACAGTTTCCACCAGCAGCAGTGCTAACGACCACTCTTCATCCACCGTCCCAAACACTGAAAACACACCACATGATGAAACAGCTCCCACCAGCAACACCGCTCACAACAACTCTACATCCACTGCCTCAAATACCGAAACAGTTTCCACCAGCAACAACACTAACGTCCACTCTTCATCCACCTCCTCAAACACTGAAAACACCTCAAACCATGCAACAGCTTCCCCCGGTACCGAGACTCACAACTCTCCATCCACTGGAACGACATCTAATGATACCACGGCAACAGGAAATGGTGCCACAACAGCCAGCAGCACACCAGGTTCCACAAATAACACAACCACGTCGCAGAGTGTGACCTCGGCCCCGGCCTCGGCCCGCAGCGGCGTACCTGGGTGGGCGATCGCTCTGCTGGTCCTAGCTGCTGTGGCTCTGCTGCTGCTGTTCCTGCTGCTGTCCGGACTGGTGAGTCACATACATGAGGTTCAAAATTTCAATTTCAGACTTTTCAAGGATGTAAAATAAAATTTCCATGGCCATTCATAACTTAATCAGAACAGAACTATATATTATACTTTACTCCAGATGTCCATGATACTGTAATGAGTCGGCAGATATGGAGCAGTACAGCTCCCAGAGTCGGGGAGTTCGGTCAACAGGTCGGTCGGCCCACTGATGATTTTCTTTTTTTTTTTAAAGAATCAGTCTCCAGCTGATCACTTGTTTTCAAAGTGCTTACATCAGTTTCACTTTCCATGCACTCACTAGCTGCTGGCTTGTCATGTTAGCGTACTAGTGTCAGCACACCTGGGGAAACCGCTGTTAGCATTCCTGTTACACTGACTCATGCTAACGGTACAAACAACATCTGTTCTTCCTCTGCAGCTGGTTTGGTGCTGCTGCTTCAGGAAGCGCCACAAAGAAAGTCCCTACGACCACATGGCCAGCAGAGACGACATCCCTCTGTACACCACACATGGCCGCTTCGATGGGCCCATTGGAAAACCGTACGTAAGTCATCACTATACAACATCTATGAGGACACATCAAAATGATAAGAAAGGGACACCACAACACTGATGTCCTCACAAAGACAGAAAAATTTGCTAATGACCTCAAAAAGACACATCACAATCATAATGTCCTCGAAAGGGACATCATAATGTAAATGTCCTCACAAAGACAGAAAAATATGCTAATGTCCTTGGAAAGGGACATCGCAAGGATAATGTCCTTACAAAGACACGTCACATCACATGCTAACAAAGACATAACAATGCACAACTGTCCTCACAAGGAAGTGGTTTGTCAGGAGTTGGTCCTTGTGAAGCTTAATGTCCTCACAAGGACAGTGATCTGTCAAGAGCTGGCCCTCATCAATATCATATTAATGATTATTATTAGTAATAGTATTACTATCATCATTCCACAGTCTCCTGATCATTTAATGATTTAAAGGTGATCAGAAAAATTTTAAAATCAATAAAATTCAGAACATAACAGACAGCCCGTGTGGGCTAGTTGGCTAGCATGGGACCCATGTCTTCATATGACAGAGAACAATCCAAAATGTCCTCACAAGGACACATCACAATGCTAATGTCCTCACAGTGGTGTGTCAGGATCTGGTCCTCACAACCACAGTTAAACCTCTCTGACACACACATGGGGCAGAGAGTGTGTTGGTTGTGTCTTTGTGTGCTGTAATGTGACGCCTGGGAAAGAGTCTCGTCCTGCAGCAGGACAGAGTTCATCCATTTACATTAATGCAGTCACAGTGTTTCATCTGTTCCAACAGAACCAGCAGAGATTCGAGGTGTCAGTCAGTCTGCAGACGGACATTTACAGGACTGACGGCTCGTTTATCACCATGAAAATACAACACAACACTGACCAGTTTTTGAGCTACAAAAGAAAAAAAATGTGTATTTGAGTTGTGTGAACTAAACTAACCTAAACAACACAACATAAACACATCTTTGACGTGGACGTGTGTGTTGCAGAGCTGCTGCTTCAGACATCTCGTGTGTCCTGAACGCAGGGTGACGTCTGTTGTATCTAAATGGGTGTGCGTTGGCTCGGAGAGGTTATTGTTAATAGTTATTAAGCTGTTTGTATTTTAATGAGTCAACATTGACACAGGGGACATGGAGAACTAATGGCAACACCTAACTGTAATGTGATTGTCACTATGACAACACAGAAATGGACAAACAATGGGTGTCAGCAGGCATGAGAATAAGTGTTTATTAACTTAAAATAGCAATTTACCTTAGCTTGTGTTAGCACACACTGTGAGCAAACTCAGACCTATTCACACATTAGTAAATCATTACTGCCTCTGGTTAGATATTCAGATTGTAGTGCTTTCATAACTGGCACTAACTGCTTTTTGTATTCTCCAAGACATGTATATATTTACAAAGGAAAAATTACCCGCTTATTTAAGTTATTGTTGATAAGAACCTGTGAGTAACATCTCAGTTTCATCTTTTATTCCCCTCATTGTGTTTCCCAACTCTTTATAGGGGGTTTCTAACAACTAAAGGCCGAGTTTAAGGAAAAGAACATTAAGTTTTATTTGATAAACCAGTTCACATAGTTTTTTTTCTCAGATAGGAAGATGATAAAGGTTCAAGATGTGTTGAGCCCAGCTCGGCACAAAAACTGGGAGCGAGGGGAAACTGTTCACTTTTCATCAAAAGTGAAAAACACCTCCAAACAATAAACATTTCCCAACAGTCAAACTGTTTTTTTTTTCCTATGGTGTATGTGTCGTCTACATCAGCACTCTGCACTCGGTGCTAATTCTGTTATTCATCTCTTCCAGGATCAACGCATGAATACCAGGACGACGACGTACACGGTCAACGCATAGTGGCGGAGACGAGACGACCGACACGTGACGAAAATCACATCAAACACTTTAACACAGAACACTTTCTTTACGGTTTTCGGGTTTTTTTTATTTGTAACCTTGTTTCATTTTAATAAACATGTGACTCAGTTATAATTCAGCTCATAGCTGCTTTTATTTATTGTCTGTGAAGCACTGTGGGGCGCTGTATTTAAAATACTAATAAACTTTTATTGTTAAGAAAACACTACGAACTGTATCGTTCTTATTACTTTTAAAAATCATAATATACTAATTGTTATATTTTGTTCATCTTATCAAAAACTTGATAAACTGCCTGATAGAGACTATATCAACTTCGCATGCTATTATTCTTTTTCATATTATAAATTTGGATAGTAAAACAACAGAAAACTAAATTTACACTGACTTTATGTTTTACTACTTCATAACAGTTGACTATGATATAAAAGTTACTGGTGAGACTGTTATGTATTTTTTTTTATATTTTCATGTTTTAGACATTGTCACCTGGATCACATCAACTATTATCATTTTGGATTTTTTTCTTTATTAAAGATAACTGCCCTGCTTTACGTGCTACTAATGTTAATAATCATAATTCCTCTTCACAATGGGTACATCTTAAAATCATTTTGTTTTACCAAAAAAAGTTTTATATACTCTCTTATCATATTAACAATATTACAGTATTTTTAAACTTTAATAGCAAGTTTTACTACTTCGTAATAGTAAACCCTAACCCTTCAGTTGTAATAATAATAATAATAATAATAATACATCAGAGTTACAAAGTGCTTTCCATGTCAACAATTAAAACAGAAAAGACATGAACAACTTTTAAAAGAACTTTTAATAGATTGAATGTCTTTTGAAAAATGTTCAAAAAAATAATAATTCATTATTTCGTTTTACCACTGTAACCACCACTGTTGTATTTTTCTGTTTTCTTTTTAATTTGTTATAATTTTGTCATTTATGTAAGCAATAACTACATCTTAAAAAAAGAAAAATATAAGACAAAAAAAAGTTAATACACTCTATTATATAAACAATATTACTGTATTCTTAAACTTTCTTTTATATCAGCTGTGATAATATTGTCACTACTAAATATCTGTTTGTATTTTAGCATCTGAATAATTATTATCAATTATCATATTTATCTAAAATATCATTATAAATATTTTGACATCAGTGAGTTACTGTTGTAATTATGTGCTTATTTTTGTTTGTTTTGTTTGTTTTGTGTTGTTAGATAACTGACTCTGCTATAACTGACACTGATACTAATAATCATATTTCCATTGACTGGCTCTGCTCATCGATTGAATGTCTTTTAAAAAACCTTTCAAGACAAAAAATGCTTTAAAAATAATGTATTCAATCTTTCATATTACCACTTAAGTTATATTTTCCTATTTTATTCTTCTACTACTATCATACATTATTTGAGATAATACTGTCTCAGGTATTAATGTTTTTATTACATATTTCAGATATGTTTATTTTTTTTACATTATATTATATTTAATTATATTTGTATTCATTATTAAATGTTCACTCTGACTTAACATTGTGTTTAATATAAAACTCAATTGTTAGGACTTTAATCATGTATTTACTATAAAACATGTGAGAAT